CACTCAGTGGGTTTACATGGCCAAGCTGGGATTTGAACCCTGGTCTCTGGAGCCCTAGTCCAGTGCTCAAACCACTATGCCATGCTAGCTCTTATTTTCTCAGGTAATGCAGATTAAACAGGACTTGGGGAAGAGGAGAAGCCTGGGAAACCTTTTCTGGGATTTCAGTGAATGCTAGTACTGTAGATAATTGCCCTTCCTCTCCTTGTATAGGTCTCTGAATCCTGGAAATCCAAACACAGCAACCATCAACAAGACCTTGAAACCAGAGAAGGAAGCTGAATGGGGAAGCTACTGCTAGCCAGGAAGACCAAACATGACTGGAATTTGACGACTCAAAAGGCCCTTTGTTAATGCAGCGTTAAAGTAAAACCATTACTTCGTGTAAATGAAGGTGGGTGGTGCAAAGGTGAACTTAGGCTTGTGTTTAAGAACAAGTCTTACAGCATTTTTCTCTCTCATATATGCACACAAGCAGGGTAAATATTTCCAGTTTGTTTTCTGAGAGTTAGGAGAATCTTTTAAGCTCTGGGGACTTCTTTCGGTTTGAGTTTTGCTATGTGGGATGTTCTAGCTCCCTCACTCTCAGTCTTACAAATATTTATTTGTAAAAGCCCATGCAAGTTTTTGTGGGGCATTCCCCCAAGTTTGAAGTTTTATTGCTCCTATGACTTCATTTTGTATATGTTTCCATTTAATTCTTACTGGTAAGTTTAGTCGTCTTAGAAATGGTGTTTGAAATTCTATGTTATATATAATATTTCTATTTTTTCACTTCATGATTTGACATTTGTATAATCTCTTTGTTTCATATTGTCATTATCTATTGTTATAAGTGTAGAGAGCCAGTGTGGAATAGTTGTTTGAGCATTGGATTATGACTCTGGGGATCAGGGTTCAAATCCCTGCTTGGCCATTAAACCCATGGGGTAACCTTGGGCAAGTCACATGCTCTCAGCCTCAGGGGAAGGCAATGGCAAAACTCTTCTGAGCAAATCTTGCCAAGAAAACCACATGATAGGTTTCCCTTAGGGTCGCCATAAGTAAAAAACAACTTGAAGGTACACAATGCACACACACACACAGTTAAAAGCAATCAGAATTTTAACTGAATGGATACAAATATTTATATTCTCAATCACCAAACATTTCCAGTTTACGAGAAGCTGTTCTTTGAGGTGGGTGAGAAAAATAGCTCATTGTAAAACAGAATAGCTCATGTGGGCTGAATGGCAAAACACTATGTCAGCTCCTGATTTTGAAAGACCCTAGACACAGCTTGGAAATGTTATTTTTGTGGTCCTGAAAACCCAGAATCCTCCAACCAGCATGGCACAGTGGCTTCTGGGAGCTGCAGTCCAAAATTAACATTTCCAAGCTGGGGCAGAGTGTCTTCAATGAGACACTATCTTGTCCAAGTCACCTCTCCTCACTCATTTGCTCTCTTCTGGGAGGTTTGCCCAGAAGGAAAGCATGAGAGAAGACGGCTTTACCCCTCAGTTTTGCCATGGCATTTATGCCAAGAGAGGGAATTGAACAAGCAGCGAGAGGATGGAGGAAAGGCAAAAACAGGACCAGGAGTTCCCAGATCAAGGCATTGGGATTCTTAAGAACAAAGTGGGCTTTGGCAGGTGATTTCAACAATTCATAACCAAGAAGGGATTTCTTGGCCCTGGAAAGATCCTGGTCCTGGTCCTGGGCCCATAGGATAAAATCTGTATAAACCATATATATATATATATGAATTTGTTTCTCTATATGCAAGTGTAGAATTAATTGCTAGGATTGGTTTAAATTTCACAGATGTCAAAGTTCAATAATTTTTCATCCAAAGTCTTATGCAAATCATTTCCAGCTAATATATTCTTCAGTTAACATCCACCCCACCATATATCGTCATCCCAAGTTAGTTTTCCTCTTCAATGACAATTAATCTGTATAAGCAAAAAAGGGCTCTATTTGGCTTTATTTTTTATTCATTTTTATTAAACATAAACACAATCACGCACACATTTTCTAGATATATCTAAAATACAAACAGTAATAACAAACAATAACTAAGAAGCACAACTAAACTGTTAAACAAAAATAAACATACACTGCTGACCCCAACTGATGGATATAAACCACTATTATTCTACTTCCTTATATATAATAATATATTTAAGCCTCTACAGTATACCAATTCTTTGGATGAGAAATTATTGAACTTTGACATCTGTGAAATTTAAACCAATCCTAGCAACTAATTCTACACTTGCATATAGAGAAACAAATTCATATATCCTATGGGCCCATAGGATAAAATCTGCATAAACCTTTTTTTTATATATATATCTTTATATATA